ACCCTGGCATGATAGGTCATCAGACGGAGCAGATCTTGATAGATAAATACCTGGAAGGAATAGGAGATGTAGAAATACAATGCTACGCACTCTTGCAAGGACCACGCACGCTAGACGAGGCTATAACTCGGGTAGCACAGTATGAGGCCGTTACAAGAGAAACAGTACATCGTAGAAAACCGCCACCAGGTGGAGGCACTCATGTACAAGCTGTGATGCAACAAGAGGATCCAGTGTCGAGTCTACGGGAAGAGGTGCGAGGCCTGAGACAGGACATGGGTAGGATCATGAAGGACGCTGAAGGTCAAGGGCAGCAACATACAGCAGAAGCTGGAGGCCGAGGTCAAAGGTCGGGAGAGAGTATGCCGAATGCACCATTCAGCAGAATGGCAAGGCCTCCACCGAATAGACCAAGAATAGCTGAAATGGAATGTTATTATTGCAGGAGAACGGGACACATGCAGAGAGATTGCCCACGACGATTGCAAGGCGGCAATATTTCAGATAATCGCGCACAACGGACAGGAGTTGCCGAGAGGAGTCAGCAACCGTTAAACTAGGACGGGCTAGGAAAAGAGTCGGTAGCCTGGTCCATAGTAAGCCGACTGAGGGAGCTACACCACGATCTACTGGTTTCACACTCTCTCAGAAGGGCGAGATAGAAGAAGGCGAGGATACAGGAAAACACGTAGGGATTAAAATACCGATAAATACAGAAAATAGTTCAGGCAAGGCTAAAGCCACACGGATACCGATTATCTCAGTAGCACCACTACAGTGTCATCCCACGTGGGTGATACCTGTGAAAGTAGAGGGATGTGAAATGAAATTTTTAATAGACAGCGGATCAAGTAAAACGCTGATTAATGAGAGTAGGTTCAACGACATCAAAGCAAGTACAGGGCTACGGCTGATAACAAGAAAGAGATCTGAAGATGGCGAACGGCGAAGCAATGGATAGTCCTGGAGAGACTGTTGTCCGTCTAGAAATCGCCGAGCATACCTACAATAGGAAAACAATGGTTATTGCACAATTAGAGGATTTAGATGGGATTTTGGGACTCGATTTTCTCGTCCCAAACAATGCTATCCTGAACATTACTACAGGAATGCCTATCCCAGAATTTCAGAAGCTGGAGGCACAGGGGATTCGGATGGAGAAGACGGTGTTCCCAAGGGATGTGATGAAGGTACCCTTGGTTATCTCCCACACAGGAGAGAAGCCTGCCCTGTTGTTGGAGGATCAGCAAGTGCTGGGGGAACTCAAACCAGTGGAGGAGAGTGAGACACAGCAGGGACAGCATCACCAGAATGCGGATGCGTTGTCACGTAAGACAGTCGGGAAATGCCCGAACGAGAACTGCACAGGTAGCAGGCATGGAAGGATGGGAGCGGATGCCCGACCAGCGATGGAGATGCAATCAGGGGAAGAGGAAACGCGCGTTCAGGAGGAAANTTCCTTCCATTGACGTCGAACGTGCTGCCACTTATATCCGATGTTTTTATTTTATTTCGACGCACGTGCGTCAGTTGACACGATCACACGCGTTATAGACTGACGCAGGACGCCAACGTGACGCACCTAAGGGTTTACTGCCCACTGATCGCCTACAGATGGTGAGAGATTCATCCGCTTAAATCCAAACAGCGGCATATCGGAATCGTGAACAGACGATATCTCTAGCAATATTGCAGAGCGGTATATATTCTCTGGGGGGTGGTGGGAGGAGGAGGAAACGTCCTTGTGAGATTTTGCAGGGTAGTATTTAATGTAGGCCTAATTGAAAAATGCCGTCAACAATTGTAAATATTTTTGAAAAAGAAATATGGTTAATCTTCCAGAATCTCTCTATGAATGAGATATTGTCGGTCATTTCCGGATTAGTGCGTGCCTAATATTAGCCAAGCCAACTGTTGGTTGGCTGACACTATACATTTTAAGTAGAGAACGCATAATTGCGAGTATTCCCGTATAAAAGAGGACTTTTCATATACTATACTACACTCGAGGTTAAATTAAATAGTTTTATTTTCGACATGTCTACGTGAAGGTCCAAATAGCTTGAAATTCTAGTTTGCGATTATAGTTCAATGCAGCAACGTATTACGACAGTTTGTACGAGAAAAATGGATGGAATATTATCGTAAAAATGAGATGGATTTGAGCTTATACGGATACTGTGTTTACAATATTCGCCTGTATATATATATATAATATTTCTATATATTATTAATATATAATAATAATAATTCTATATATATATATAATATATATAGCAGTGTAAAGTCACACTTGAACACCCATGTAGATAAAAACAAATTCAAATTATAGAATAAGGGTGTTTAAAATTTAATTAACAAGCTTTTGAGATTACATCGATATATATATATATATGTATCAAGAGCGTATAAAGAAGATATAATGTAAGGTAAGGTAAAGTAAGGTAAGTAAGGTATAAGGTAAGGTAAAATTTAATTAACAAGCTTTTGAGATTACATCAACATATATATGTATCAAGAGCGTATAAAGAAGCTTCTTAATACGCTCTTGATATGTATATATATATATATATATATTGTAGATAGATTAAACACAAGACATCACTTTTTGCTGTAAACAATTGTAAATATTTCTGAAAAAGAAATATGGTTAATCTTCCAGAATCGCTGTATGAATGAGATATTACTCAGAGTTTCATGCTTGCGCAATCATCAGACAACTTTAATGAATTTAAGTGGATTCATTAAAGTTGTCTGATGATCGCGCAAGCGTGAAACTCTGAGTAACAGCAAAAAGTGATGTCTTGTGTTTAAGTCTTATCTACAATGATATAACGCTCTGCCAATTAAATGCCATTGACGCACTCTACAGCAGTGTTAAGTACCCAAGCATACAGTTTATACTCTATTATATAATATATATATATATATACTATATATATATATATATCCACTATATATATACATATATATATATTGATCAAAATCTCGATTGCAGAGACGTCGGTAATGACATCAATAATCTTCCGGAGTCTTCTGTCTATCGGGTACGGACACCCGAGCCGCCGCACTCCCGGCGGCCGGCGAGATGGTGGCGACGTTGACGATAGTCTGCATCACTCGGGGCTTCCTCCCGGCACGTAGAGAGCGCGTAGATTGAAGCCGAAGAGACAGATGAGGCTGACGGTGGCGGTACTGATGCTGGAGACGACCGTCATGATGACACGAAATCCGACCGGGACGTCGTCGCGGCGTAGATCGGTACGAACGTGACCCATATGACGGCTGTCGCCATGGCGCAGAAGGCAATGAGCCTGAAATCGACATCATAGTGATGTATAGACGATAATATTGAGTCCCGCGTGGATTCTTGCCTATATAGTGTCGATGCGAAATCCTTGTAGACTATATATATATATATATAGTTGTGTGTATATATATATATAGTATATTATATATATAATAGACCAGGGTTACTCCATCTGTGCTACTAAAAACGGATTATTTTCGTCTGGCCGCTATCTGAATTGGATATTCTATTCAGGACGGCTAATAATTATTCAACCAGGACGTGCATAGAGTTGACCATTAGGTGCGAGTGTTTTCATCATAGCTTTTTCGTGGTATAGGTGGCTAGTACCTATATAATATAATATATATATATAGTACATATATATAGTTAATATACTATATTACATATGGAGTAAGAGAGAGAGAGAGAGAGAGAGAGAGAGAGAGAGAGAGAGAGGAGCGATAGAGAGAGGGGAGAGAAGGCGGGCGAGAAAAAGAACGAACGACTGACAGACTGACAGAAAGACATTGCAGAGATAGAGAGAGAAAGAGAGGGAGAGAGAGAAAGAGAGAGAGAGAGAGAAGAGAGAGAGGTTGAGAGAGAGACAGACAGAAATACGTTAGACACACAGAGAGAAGGTCAATCACAGAGACTCTTCATCGACATTGCTTCTTACTTGGACTCGTTGAAGTTGTCCGGTAGATGGCGCGTCTTGAACGCCAGCACGGAGCAGGCTGCTACCAGCAGCATATTGTAGACGAGGCTCACGATTTTCCCCGCTGCCCCGCCGCTCCCACACATCAGCTCCACGTACCTCACCGACGGGCTGGGCATGACCAGCAGCGCCTCCTGGGGGTGGAGCGACGTCGAGGCAATGCTGGCTACTACCTTTGATAGAGCAATAATGACGCACGCTTATGATCACCCGTAGCAACGAGGAGATACATGCGTCCGCGTTGTCAGACGTATCGTGAATAGTTATGACTGTCATGACGACAAAAATAAATAATATAATATATTATTTCCATTATAAACATACATATAAAATAATAAAATAGTCAGAAATACTATAACGTTTGAATTGAATTTTTGTTTAACATTTATTTTATACTTATATTAGTCATAACGATTTACGAAGCTTCTGACAATATCTCCCAATTACTTATATTACGTACATTTATATTGCTTTCCGGCAGTGACTAACAAACATGATACGATGAGGGTGGAGAGGGAGGGGGGAATCCGGAGTTTACAAAACATGGGACGGGGGAAAGAACCATTCAGGCACAGGAATCACCACGTCGTGAAACTAATAGATTCAACAGTTACGTGCGTAAGTTAAGTACTCGTAACTGTGAACATGTTTAGTTCGGCAAGCATGTGAGTGAGATTTGTACGTGAGACTCTCGCGGTTTCTATGTACCAATATAAATGACGGAGCGTCGCTCGTGTGCCTCAGATATTCGCAAGTTCCAAGTTCCTAACGCAGCGTCTCGTTTCAATTATTTTATCGACACGTGGCGGCACCTTTTGGCCGGCAACGCAAATATTTCTCCGTTTGTTTAGTAGCCATAGGGTAAGTATACGGTTATAGCGCCAAACATACGACGAGTAATTATAATAAGAGTGAAAAGAGCGCAAGGAATTTAAATGAGTTATTTGTTGATTGTGTTAACTACATGCATATATAATAGCATATATAATAGGGTATACGTGAAATCCGAGCTATCACACCGATCTCCTCGAACCTACTTGGGTTTACATATACCTCCGCCAACTTATCTTCACCAAGCAACTTATCTCTACCTACCTGCTCCAACCTGCCTTCCTCCTCACTCCTTTCCTCCTACTCCTCCTACTACTACCTTCCTCCTCCTGCTTCTCCCTCTTTCCTACTAGTTCCTCCTCCTCCTCCTCCTTCCTTCTCCTTCCCCCTCTTCCTTCCTCCTCCTTCCTCCTCCTACCTTCCCCCTACTTTCTTCTACCCTTCCTCCACCTACCTGCAAGCCTATCAGCATGGCGGCCATCGTCAGCTGGGAGGCGCTGCTAATGCATGACGGCGGTCTCCTGCTCGTGCGACCCGCGTTGAAGATGCGATACACTCTCAGCGCACGCACGAACAGCGGCGCGTAGATCGCCGAGTCGATGACGTCATCGAGCAGCGCCACCGCGTGGCAGCGCGTCGGCGTCGGCCGGGCGAGCCGCAGCGACGTGGCGGCGTACTCCAGGAAGATGCCGACGACGATGAGCGCGCTCAGCTCCCGACTGCTCGCCTTGACGATGCGTCGGCGCCGACGCGCGACGAGCACGCAGCCGACGGCGACCGTCGTCGCCATTCCCGTCGCCGACGTTAGCGCGAGCGCGACGGATGTTGGCTCGCTCCACGCCGGGTAGTCGGGCGGTATCGGCTCGCACGTGCGGCCCGTCGCCGCGTCTGCCCAGTGCAGCGGCGGGCAGGGTTCGCAGCGGTCGCTCGCTGACAGCAGGGACTGGTCGCCGTGACATTCGGCGCACTGCCAGCAGCAGCGCACGTGCATCGGCACCTTGTAGTGGTGCGGCGCGCACGGTGGGCTGCACGCCGACGTCGGCACCGCTCCGTCGCGCGTCGGCCACTTGAGCATGGCGACGTCCAGCGACAGCCGACGCGTCGTCTCACTCCAGGAGCCGACCTCGCGGAAGAAACGGCCGCCGACGCCGCTGCCGACGACGCCGCTGCTGCCGACGCCGCTGCTGCCGACGCCGCTACCGCCAACGTCGCTGCTGTCGCCGCTGCTGCTGCTGCCGCCGCCGACGTCGCCGCCGACGAGCTGGTAGATGCGGTATTCGCCGTGCATCTCGCCACTCTCCGTGAACGACACTGGCCCGTACGAGACGCTGTCGAAACGCAGTCGCCGGATGTGCCGCAGCAGCGCGACGCCGTTGACGCAGCGATGCAGACGCCTCCAGACGGCGTCGCCGTCACCGGAAGCGGTGTTGCCGGAGGTGTTACCGGAAGTGGTGCCGGATATGTTGCCGGGTGTGCCACCGGAAGTACCGCCGGAACCGGGGCCGGACGTCGCGCAGGAAGTCGTGTTCAGTATCGCGTGGATCGCGTGCGCGAACGCGTACACGGCGTCGTGCAGCAGCGACGGGCTAACGAGCGCGTCGGCGGGCGCGTACGGCGTCGCCGCGCACGAGCCGTCGGCGAACGAGCAGGCGAGCTTCGTCTCCCAGACGCGTCGCAGCCAGGCGCTGGAGGCGGCGATCGAGCGCGCTCCGCCGACATCGTCGACCATCCACTGCCGAAATCCCGGCACGTCGTTCGTGCGCGGAGCGAAAATGAACGCTCCGGCGATCGCCGCCTCGACGCCGGCGAACTCCGACAGCGACCCGGTGAAGCCGCCCGCGCCGACGACTATGAAGCGGCCGACGAGGTCGCGCCGGTAGATGGCGCGCGTCAGCTCGACGCCCTGGCTCTCTAAGAGGAACGCGACGAGCACGCGAGCGCCGCTGCGCGCCAGCGACGTGACGAGAGCGTCGTAGCGCGACGCGGTCCAGTGCATATCGACGGACTCGAGTTGCGCGAAGCAGATGTCCTTGTCGTGGATGGCGACGTCGAAGCCCTTGGCGGCGTTGCGGCCGTAGTTGTCGTTGACGTAGATCATGTTCACGTACGTCCAGTTGAAGCGCTCGATGAGGGATACTATCGCCTCGACCTGCGCGCGTGTGGGGTCGAAGGAGTGACGTCATCACGAGCGTATAGTGCTGGCGTATGTCATCATGAGTGTGTGGCGTTTAGCGAGGGAGCGGTCAGGGGGCAGCGGTGGGGGGGGGGCGTTGACACAGCGATTTTAACCCCAGGAGTAGGGCTCATGTTTGGTTATATATTATTTATTTATTCCCAGTACGTATATAGAGATATCCCCTCCCAAATTTCAATAAATATGTATAACTTATTATAAAATAAATATAATTAATTTAATAAATAATAAAACGACTCGTAATATACAGTAAATACACAAAACCGCATGTGATAATATCAGGAGTGCATAATATAGGGATATCTCTATATTATACACTCCTGATAATAGGGCCTATATAATTGGCGATTAGTCCTCTAAACCGTTATAAACTCTTATATTACTGAGTTTGGTCGCGAATTTTTTGCAAAATAACATTCCCTTATAATTAAATAGTTTGAAAGCGAATTTTTACGAATTTGTACACGCACGCACGCACCTGGTATTTATATACGCACGCACGCACCTGGTATTTATATACGCACGCACGCACCTGCCATATGTACACGCACGGACCTGGTATTTATACACGCGTGCACGCACATGGCATTTGTACACGTGCGCACGCACATGGCATTTGTACACGTACGCACGCACCTGGTATTTATACACGCACGCACCTGGTATTTATACACGCATGCACGCACCTGGTATTTGTACATGCACGCACATGGTATTTGTACACGCACGCACGCACCTGGTATTTGTACACGCATGCATGCACCTGGTATCTATGCACGCACGCACGCACGCACCTACCATTTGTACACGCACGCACCTGGTATTTATACACGCACGCACGCACCTGGTATTTATACACGCAAGCACGCACGCACCTGGTATCTATACACGCACGCACGCACGCACCTACCATTTGTACACGCACGCACCTGGAATTTATACACGCAAGCACGCACCTGGTATTTATACACGCGTGCACGCACCTGGTATTTGTACACGCACGCACCTGGTATTTGTACAGGTACGCACGCACCTGGTATTTATACACGCGTGCACGCACCTGGTATTTGTACACGTACGCACGCACGCACCTACCATTTGCACACGGCGTGCTTGCGTGTATAAATACCAGGTGCGTGACCTGGTATTTATACACGCATGCACGTACCTGGTATTTGTACACGCACGTACCTGGTATTTATACACGCACGCACCTGGTATTTGTACACACACGCACGCACCACCTGCCATTTGTACACGCACGCACCTGGTATTTATACACGCATGTACGCACCTGGTATTTATACACGCATGCACGTACCTGGTATTTGTACACGCACGTACCTGGTATTTATACACGCACGCACCTGGTATTTGTACACACACGCACGCACCACCTGCCATTTGTACACG